AATAACATGTAAAAAAGCATCACAGCAGTTAAGATACAGGTGAATCACATGAAGCTTTGTAGTAGATGTAGGTTTTGAGGAGAGGTAGAATTTGAATGAGGGCACGAAGGCAGGCATGCAATAGGAAGTACAATGCATTGGGATCCAAGGAGCCGGGGTGATCTTGGGGAAGTTAACTAAGGCTTCGGAGCCTTAAAGTCTGCATCTGTAAAATAAAGGAGTTGGGGCAGGTGAACACTAAGATCCCTTCTGGCTTTCAATCCTGTATTTGGGGGATGGTAAGACCAACTTAGTTTTAATGGAGAGTTACTGTGGGAGGCTGGAGAAGAAAACCCCAAATTGGGTGAATTGCTGATGCAGAGTGAGACACTACTCAAAAACAACTTAACAAAAACACTGAGGGAAAGGGGTGGAAAACTATCAAGGTTTAATTTCCTGACTCTGGCCTTCATTGGAACCTTCCCACCCACCCACCCCCCAAATACTGCATGACATTTATGACATTCAACAGCTACTCAATTTTATTACGTACCTAACATATGCAGAGCACTATGCTAGGATTGGGGAAGACACAAAATTTGGGCAAGACGTGGTCTTTACCATCACAGAGCTCATGTTCCAGAATGGGGACAAGACACAAAAACAAATGATCATACAAGATATCAGTATTCCAGAATAAATGCATTTACTGTCAGGTGAGGTCACTGTCAGTCTTCAAGGATGGTTCACAATATGTTGGGTTTGTGGTTGAGGGTATCTTTGTTCATGTATTGGTTCAACCAGACAGCTGATGAGGCCCTTCAGGGTGAAGGCGGAACAGAGATTAGTATCATGGAGGTGATAGTTAGGTTTTTAGGGAATGGTGGAAATTCAATGGAGGAGGGAGAAGACTATTTCCAGCACAGCAAATAGCACAAGAAAAGACAGAAGGGTTTGGAGGTTACAGGATGTTTGCAGTATAGTCTAGTAGTTTAGTTTATAGAGAATAAGGTAAAGCTAGAAAAAAATTACCCATAATGAAGAGCCTTGATGCTGTACAAAGAAGTTGTAACACCTAGTAGAATGTGAGCTTTGGGTGAACAAGCACTCTTATTTTTGTACCCCCAGCACTTCACATGATTTCTTGCATTTTGTGTTAGGTCCATACCTTCGATTTAATTGACATATGGCAATACTGATATGGGAACTCCCCTCATATAATAATCATAGCTTAGGAGTTTCAGAGCTGGTCAGGGGAATTCAGCAGTTAAATGACTGAACCAGAGCTAGTTAAGTGCCAGAAACAGAATTTAAACACAGGTCCTCCATGAAGCCAGCCCTTTGTCCACAGCACCACACTTTTTTTTGCCTGAAATGTAATGAGTGAAAAAGCATTTATTAATCACTTCTGCTCTATGCCAGGCACTATGCTAAGTATTGGGGATACACATTTACTTAAAAAACAAGCTAGTTTCTACTCACATTCTCATAAGAGAAGATAACAGTTTTAAGGTGGCCAGAGGAGGACATTTTGGCTTGGGAGTCAAAGTGATGGTGAGTACAGTCTCAGGGCAATTGATTAATATATCCTTATTAGGAATGGCGGAATTGATCTGATTAGTTTCCAGAACTAGAAGCAAAAAGCAGGGAAAGGTTAAGAAGGGTACCAGGCTCAGTGTACAGGTGCGGGCAGAAGGCAAAGTGCTGGGCGTGAGCTAGATAAGAACACCAACCAGAACACCAGGGTGGAAACTGGAGTACTAGGCGGAGCTAGGCAACATAACACAAAGAGAGATAGAGTAGCAGGTGCTTAAAAAATGTTCATATTTAATTGTTAGGAAGCAATAGAGTAGCATTTATTTTGGAGTAGTAATACAACTAGATTTACATGAGAGATCATTCTGGCAGCAGTATAAAAATGGATCAGAGAAAGCAGACTATTGCAGTAGTGAAGAGTCCAGTGATGAGAGCTTGTACTACTAATTTAGTGACGATGGGAACAAAGAGGGAAGGAATGGATGTGGAAGGTAGTGTGAATATACCAATCTGGGTAACTGACTGGACGAGAGAGGAAAGGGAGAGGGATAAGACAAGATTTGGCCAACGTTAGTCACTATGAATCCAGAAGCCTCAGTTCAGGGCTGCCTAGAAACTCTCTAGGAGTTGGCCTTACAATCGTATATATTAAAAAATGATACATTTGGGCACTGCTAGTCTTATTCATACTCTAAAAGTACTGTTGCCTTTACACACAAGGCTATTTTGTTAAAGAGCAAAAGACAAAAAGTCTTTTGTTAAAGATGTTTCCAAGAACATCAGAAGGAAACGTTTCCAATGCTTCAGATTAGGGTGGGAAGTCTTTGGGTGTCTGAGTAATTACCTCCAGCCCTGGCAAATTCCAAAAGGTCATACTGCTCTCAAATACAACAGTTAGGTGTTACAGAAGGTAATGTTTCAAAGAACAGTGAGAGGGAAACCTAACAGTTTTTTTGACTATTGTATGGAATTTCAGATGGCATTTATGAAAGTTGATTTGTTACCTTTTCCTTCAAAGGAAATCTTGGTGCAGAAAAGAAAGAGTACTACTGGTACTGGATCTGGATCTGGAAGGTCTGAATTCAAATCCAGTCTCTGCCACTTACTACCTGTATAACTTAGAGCAAACAACCTCACCCCTCTGGGCATCAGCTCCCTCATCTCCACAATGAGGGCTAGGACTAGATGACTTTTAAGGTCCCATTCATATCTTAACTCTGTCACCCTGTGAAAGGCACTGTGCTATAAACATAAAACCAGCCCCTGGCCTTCAGAAGCTTACATTCCACTATTAACAGCAAAGCTTTGAACACGAGATTCTGTTATAAGGGAGGGGCAGATCTTGGACATACTCAGTTTCAAGTGCTGGTGGTACATCCAAATGGATATATCTCACAGGCAGTTGGAGATGGATAACTGGAGATGGAAATACATATTTGGAGTAAAATACTGAGAGCTGAAATCACAGCAGCAAATGAGATTGCCATGGCAGTATATGGAGAGAAAAGGCAACCATAGTCATAATACTGGGGAATACCCACTTTAAGCACTTGGGGGAAAAAAGGTAACTGAGACCAAGTACCTATTATAGAGGACAAGCAAGAATGTATTGTGTTTCTAAAGCTGTATAAGGATACTGCTCCCATCCATAGACATGGATGATCAACAATATGCTGCTGTCACTTGTGATGTTGGAAAGAGCAGTTTCAGGAGACTGTTGGGACAAAATCATAAGGGAAGGAAAGCATGGGTGGTGATAAGCAGAGTATCTGTTTGTCAGTGATAGCAAGAAGGTTGGGAAAGTAGCTGGATAGGGTAGAAGGGTCAAGGGAAGGCACATTTTGTGAGAATTGGGGAGACCTGAGCACTTATGGTGTAATGAGTACTGGTGATTTTGAGGGCCTATATAGAGGGGGTAGGTGGAGGCAAAAAGGAAACTGGGACAAATTTTAAAAACATGAAGGTAGAATTGACTAGATATAACATCAGGGAGAGGGAAGAGTTGAATACCAAGGTTTTGAAACACTCAATAAAAATTTATTCAGTACTACTGTACGTTAGGCACTTGTGCTAGGTGCTAAGAATACAAACGCAAAAATGAAAGAGTTCCTACCCTCAAGGAGCTTACATTCTCTCTCTCTTTTTTTTTTTTTAGGCAATTGGGATTAAGTGACTTGCCCAGTGTCACAGAGCTAGTTAAGTGTCAAGTGTTTGGTCTGAGGCCGCATTTGAACTCAGGTCCTCCTGACTTCAGGGCCAGTGTTCTATCCACTGTGCCACCTACCTGCCCCTGAGCTTACATTCTCTTGAGGGAGAGACACATACATATCCATACATACATGTATATATACATGTATAAGTATTTAAAAAAAACAGGAAGTTATCTGAAGGGGTGGGGAGGGCAAGGCAATAGTAGCTTGGGGAAAGAGACAACGCTTCAGGCAGAAAATGGTGCTCGAGCTGAGCTTTGAAGAAAACTAGGCATTAAGAGTCAGAGTTAAGGAATACATTCCAGGTATGAGGAGAGTCGATGTTTTCAAAAAGGCACATTTTGTGGGAGGGTCAATAACACGACTGTAGACTGAATGAAAGGACATAACGTATAATAGGGCCAAAAAGTTAAGTTGGAGCCAGGTTGTGAGGGGTTTAAATGTCAAAAAGAACTGATATAAAATTGATATATTGATACAAAATGAAGCAGCACGCTTCTCATGCTTTATGAACAGAGGTGCAATATAATGAGAACTGTGCTTTAGAATAATGTCATTGGTAGATGATGTAGGATTGGTAGATGTGGAGAAGGATAATGACCTAAGGAGGGAGATGAAGCAGAAGGCTTCTTGCAGCGGCTCATACTTACCTAAGACGGTAATAGAGTAAGTATAGAGAAGGGGAGATCCAAGAGATGTCAAAGAGGTAGAACTGATGAAACTTTGCAAGTGAACACAGAAAAGTGGTTGAATTGTGGCACCACGGATAAAAATAGTAAAGTCAGAAATGGGAGCAAGTTTAGGGAATATAACTGACCACAATTCTATGTCACTGTTAAGTTTATAAATCACTTTCCTCACAATAACTCTGTGTAGCTAACAGTAACCATTTTTCATAAGAGAATATGTAAGCTCAGAGTTTTTAACTTCCCCAGGGTTGCAAAGCTGGTAGATATCAGAAAAGATCTGAACTCAGGTTTTACCTAACTATAAATCAAGCCAGTGCTCTCTGGGCTAGCTGAACTTAAGAAGCTAATAGTATGTCCAAGTGGAGATGTCCTAAAGGCAAGTTGGACATTCAGGTTCTTACCAACAATGAATCTGACTTCCTTTCACAAAAAACTAACTGATCACTTTTTGAAGTTGTAGGCAGCAAGACTTACATCTGGTGACCTTTGAAAGGACTGTTTCTCAGCATGGCAAGGGAAGGAGTGCAGAACAGCACAGGTAAAGGAACAAGGCTAACGCCTGCTTCATGGTCCAAGAATACATCAGTAAGGCATAGAAATATACTTTTAAAAGGGGGAGGAAAAGTGCTAGTTATCAGTGTTAAACAATCTTCATGAAATACACAATCACTATATTTAAAAATTTTATCTAATAATTACCACCACCTATATGGCAGCAAAGCATTATCTCATGAATTTTCATGAAACTTAGCAAGACTGAAATTAGTCAACCAATAAATTAATATTTAGTTTCCATGGGTGCACAGAAGACTTTGCCATTGCCCTTCTTTTTATGGAAAATGTGACTGGCTTACTCTTCTGCAAAGACAAATATCAATGCTAGGATCAGCAGTGATTTTATGGGCAAAAGAGTTCAGTGAACTCTTGTACTAAAGAAAAAAAAATGCTATTTTCTCAAAGATCTCACCATTTACTCCATGACTATCCTAATTTATAACCAACTTCCAAGATTAAAAAAAAAAAAAAAAAACGACAACAAACCAGCAATTCACCAATAGAACACTTAATGTAATCTTTATAGCTTTATCCTTAGACTCTTAAGGAAACTTCTAAGTCAGCAGTTCGTCCTAGCCTTCATTTTCTTTTTCATGTCAAGTATTAAAGATTTCTACCTATTTTCTCAAATTTGCTTATTCTTTAGCTTATTCTTATTTATAAATGAGAATGCTAAATATTCCTAAACTTTAAAAGTTCTTAATATCTTATTCTATCTTATTCATTGTATTTGGGGGTTTTCAGTTTTCTCATGGAGAAAAAAATAAGTTAGTCATAACAACTTTATATTTTGTCCACCTGCTACTTCTACAACACAAGCCTGGATAGTAAAATTTGGTGTATGTTGTCTTAATTTCTACTGCATAGGGAAGGAGAAATCATCAAGAAAATCTTTAACTATCATGTGGAAAACCTTGAAAGTTCAATGCTTTGCCCTCAAGGTTCAATTATTATCTTTTATCCACTGCTCAATCCATTTCATTATCTGATCTAAATTATTCTCTAGTTCTTCTGGTACATTGCTGGGCAGCCGGTGTACTATTTCACAGTCGTAGGAGGCCATGGCTTCTTCATAAAGAACTTGGAAAATTTCACACTGAACGTTGTCCTGTAGTTTCTTTACACTGTATCCCCTAGAAAACAAAATTGTGGTTTAGACACACATACACAAAATCTGAATGGAACAAGTATTTGTTTAGGAACCACCTCTCCCTCCAAAAAAATGCTTAAAGTTGATGTAAAAATACTTTCCAGACATTTCATTTTAAAACCAGTGGCAACAATTTAGAAATATCAGAATCTGAGAAAGTTAGATAGGCATGTCAAAACTCAAAATTGAGACCAATCCACAAGTTCAAATTTGACTTGTGTTGCAAGCTGCCCATAACTCAGTTTCCCCATTTACACTGAGCACTGTTATGTATGTGCCTATTATGGTGTTATGTGTAGAGAAATATACAATATAACCTCTGTTCAAAAACAGTTTATAATCTAGTTGGGGGGAGAAGACATAGCCACAATTAGTTTTTCATCAAGTGTTAAACTGTGCATTATAATTAGAGAAAAAGGCAAGATAGGTACCTCCTTTCACATGTAGACAATAGTTTTATTTCTCTATTCCAAAGCATACTGACAGCATGAATTAATTAAAAAGTTAAATCTCTAATTCAAAAAATTGCTAAAAAAATGATTAATTTTTTTCAAGATCTGCATTCCAAACATTTTCCCTAATGCAACGATTCTCTAATCTTCTACCCAGAATAATTCTTTATTGAAATCCTAGGACTTTTTATTTGAGAGAAAAGAGAGTACTCTCCTGCCTTCCTGTAAGATATGAACCAATTAGTCACTTGGAAAGTATTTATCAAGCACCTGCCAGTCAAAGAAAGGTTTTACTGCCTGGAAAAAACATGAAAGAATAAAAGTTTTTTAATTTGACCAGTCAGATTAGTGTATCCATTATGAAACTATCATCTAGATCTTAACTAATCTTTTTAATCTAGAATCAGAATATTGTGCCCCGTGAAGACTACAACAGTAGGGCAACTACATGTAGAAGAAATAAAAAAAGTCAAGAAAGTTTGGTCTAAAGAGATCTGAATTCAAATTCTGGCTCTACCATTTTTTGGCTGTTTGTCCTTGGGCAAATCATTTAACAATCCTAGGCTTCGTTTCTTTATTTGTAAAGTGGGAAAAGTATGGTACCTACCTACTTCAAACAGTCATTATGAGAAAAGATTTGTAACTATAAACAATATGTAAACATAAGCTTTTATAATTATTATAAAATAGTCAAGATGGTGTTTTTCTCAGATTAATTATTTGTTCTATTGTTCTTTTTTTTTTTTAAGGCAACTGGGGTTAAGTGACTTGCCCAGGGCTACACAGCTAATAAGTGTCAAGTGTTTGGTCTGAGGCCGGATTTTGAACTCAGGTCCTCCTGACTTCAGGGCCGCTGCTCTATCCACTGCGCCACCTAGCTGCCCTTTGTTCTATTTTTCTTGGTCAGTATTATAGAAAAAAAATTTCAATGCCATATAAGGTGCATCCCCTTTAACCCAGGGACACCCTTACTAGGTCTATACCCCAAAGAGATCAAAGAAAGAAAAGGACCCAAAAATACAAAAATATTTTACAGCAACTCTTTTTGTAATGACAAAGAACTGGAAACTGAGGTGGTGGAATACTATCGTGCTATAAAAAACAACAAGCTAGCTGTGTGACCCTGGGCAAGTCATTTAACCTCAACTGCCTAAAACAACAACAACAACAACAACAACAACAAAGAAATAACAAGGAAGATTTGCAGAGAAACTTGGGAAGACTTGTAAGAAATGATACAGACTGCAGTGTGCAGAACCAGGGAAATGATTTGCACAATAACAATATTGCGTATTGTGTAAAAACATAAAGAACTTAGAAAGACTCAAGAACTTTTATCAACACAATGATCAAACACAATTTCAGAGGACTCCTGATGAAATATGCTACCCACCTCCTGACAGAAGTGATGGAAAAGTGAAAGACACAAAATACAGATTGAGACTTGTTTTGTTTTGTTGTGTTCTGTTTTGACATGGTCTCAATGCAGGAATTTGTTTTGCTTGACTCTACGCAATTGTCACATGGGTTGTGTTTTTCTTACTTTCTCAATAGGGTTGGGGAAAATTTAATTTAAAAAGTAAAATCATGCTGTATAAGAAACTTCTTCTCTTACCTCTTTTCAAGTCTTGTATATAATATAGAATTATCTGTTTGAAGCACAAAAACTACATGAAACCATCGTTCAGGGAAGAAGTCACAGCCATGGTAATCAACAATAATTCCACCTTCTTTCATTTTATTTTCTAACTCATCAACTACCTGTTAAGAAAAAGTGTAGTAAACAGAGAAATATGCTTAGTGTAGGTTTTGCAGTAACAACTTGAATACCAGACCATTGTAATTGTCTGCAATTTCTCTTTTGAAACTTGAGAAATGATGATAAAAATCAAACAAGTGATCAGTTTTGCACGATTAAAACAGAAATCCATGGAATGCTATGTCTTTGAATCTTTATGTATTTCATAGAGTTTGTGCTTGTATTTCTGCTCACATGGATACTTATTAGGAAAAAAAGTTCTGAGGTTGTGGTTCAGAGCAGGCTGCACATTGAGAGTATTAGATCTTCAAACATAAATCGTTTATAACTGGACATTTCCCCCCTTGCAGTTCAGGTCAGGCTGTAATTAGTTCTCCATCGAACTTGAATGATTCTTAGGAAGGACACAATTATGACTGGTTATAAACATTGAGAGGTGCTTTCTGACAAATTTGGACAACAAAAAAAACCAGCCTTTTAATTTTGGTCAAGTGTGTGGTATTTCTGTTTGAAACCTCTCCACAGTAAGTACAGCATACGTTAGCCCCAAAGCTCGGCTGGAGGTATTTCAAAAACACAGTCAAGAACACCAGGATTTCTCTATGGTGTCTAGGTTTTGAAAAAAAATAAATTGAGCATGAGAGCTTGGGGAGTCATTTCATTCTAGAAGTATTCGGTCCCGTTTTGGAACAATCCCCCTCTCTGTGTATGTGTGAAATGTCCTTTACTACCCCCCTCATTACTACAAGGGTCAGATTTGCCATTTGAAAAAAAAGGTCTTTACTTTTTCTTTCTTTTGTATTTTGATAAACACTGAAGAAGCTGGAGCTGTTAAACTATCTCGGGAAAAACTCAGAACTGGTTTGTCTGCTATTGTGGAACTCTTACTGCTTTCAATACAATCAGTAATTGACTGTTTTGTATACTTGTTTTCAGTTTTCATTTTGACAAAAAAGCACTGTAATTAAAGCTATTAGAATAAAATCTCAAAAAAAGTATAGTGAAGAAAAGAGCAATTTTTCAATTACATTATAAGAAACATTTTATTTTTAATTGTGAGGAAATGTTTAAAATATAAAGGGCATAAAGTGAGCTATTGATCATTAATTATATTAACATAAAATCTCTATATAGTGATGCATCCAATAATAATAAGCAGCAATAATAACTTATGCTGTGGAGACTAGCATAGTTTATACAGAACTTGCATTAGTCATGAAGACCTGGGTTCAAATCCTGCCTCCAACACATAACAGCTTTTAGACTCTGGCTAAGTAATATAACCTCTTCATGTCCCCAAGCAATTCTCCAAGACTATAAATTTCAGAAGAGCTGCAGCTCAGCATTAGTATGAGGAATTCCCTTATATGGAACTCTCCATAATGATGAAATTATAACTGTGAACCAAAAAAATCATAATAATCTTATACTTACTCTGTCTTCATCCAAAATGGGACATTCATATTCTTCATCAAAGCCATCATATAACTGTCCTAAAGAAATAAGAAGCATTATATCATTCAAAATTAACCCAATGCCATTAGCAGATATTTGGAATTTAAGTTTAGCTATTTTTTCCTTCAAAACAATAAGATATTCTAATTCATAATTAATTATTAGATTACTATTAGCAGTACAAATAGCATGGAGTAGTAGATGAAGTGCTAGGCTTGGAATCAGGTAGACTTTGATTGAAATATCACCTGTGACACTAGCTGTGTGACCAGTCATTCAACTTTTGGGCCCTCTGTAATTTCCCCAAAACTTATTAGCTAAGTCAGAGGGTTTCAGTGGTATTTCATGTACAAATGGAACCATACTGACTAAATGCCATGTGGACAATACGTTTACATCAGAAAAGGTGAACCAACATGATAAGATATGGAAACCAAGTCAAAGAAGACTTTGAAGAAGTACCAGTGGTTAGTCTGATTAGTAAACTAAAGGAGACATTCAAAGTCTACCACATTGAAATGGAAGATGACATTATAAGTAGAAGTCAAAACTAGGATTAATGGATCAAGTCAAAATGAAGCAGATTTCTACTCAATACAGGAAAAGAATTTTACAGTTGCCAACGACTCCAACAGGCTCCTTAGGAGAAAGTGACAACCCTACCATGGGAGGTATTCAAGCAGAAACTAGGTCTAACAGCAGAGACCTTCTAATAGAGACAGGGCTCTTTCTAGGGGAAAACTAGTGTATTTCTGGCTTTCTCCTCACCCATTTTTTTCCTAATTGTTTCTTAAAATAAAATCTTAAAAGAAGTATTTATCAAAGCACAATTGTCATTAGTTGTGACATGATTTATTCAGGATTTCTAGCCCTATTAATGATAAACTGTAAGCCTGAATCACCAGCTAAGTAACTTGTACATAGTACAGTACCGTTGAAAGTTGTCAATTTAGTACTTTGTAATCAATTAAACTGAACATTTATGAGTTTTTTTCTTTCTCTTATTCCTTCTAACAAACTAAGATTAGCTAAGGTCAGGCTTGCTTTTTTTTTTTTTTTTTAAAGAACAGCTATTTCAGGAGGTTAAAGGAACTAGGATTAAAACCAAGAATCACCTACCCAGCAAAACTGAATATAATCCTTCAGGGGAAAAAATTGACATTCAATGAAACAGAGGACTTTCAAGCATTCTTGATGAAAAGACCAGAGCTGAATAGAAAATGTGACTTTCAAACATAAGAGTAAAGAGGAGCATGGAAAGATAAACAGGAAAGAGAAATCATAAGGGACTTATTAAAATTGAACTATTTTCATTCCTACATGGAAAGATGATATTTGTAACTCAGGAGATCTTTCTCAGTATTAAGGTAGTTGGAGGGAAAAAAAATACACATACACATACATACACACATAAACAGAGGGCACAGGGTGAGTTGAATATGATGGGATGATATCTAAAGAAATAAAAATAAGGGGTAAGAGAGGATTGTATTAGGAGGAGGAGAAAGGCAGTGGTAAAATGGGGTAAATTATCTCACATAAAAGAGGCAAGAAACAGATTTTACAGTGAGGGGAAGTGAGACGGAATGAGTGAATCTTACTCTCATCAGATTTGGCTTAAGGAGGGAATAATATACACACTCAATTGGGTATGGAAATCTATCTTACCCTACAGGAAAATAGGGGGGAAGGGGATAAGAGAGGCGAGGACAATAGTTAGGAGGGGGTAATCAGAAGCAAACACTTTTAAGGAAGGACAGGGTCAAAAGAGAGAATAGAATGGAGGGCAGGATAGGATAGAGGGAAATGTAGTTAGTCTTTCACAACATGACTATTATGGAAGTGTTTTACATGACTACACATGTATAACAACATATGCTTGCCTTCTCAATGAGTCAGGGTAAGGAGGAAGGGAGAGAATTTGGAATTCAAAGTTTTAAAAACAAATGTTAAAAATTATTTTTACATGCAACTGGGAAATAAGATATACAGGCAATGGGGTACAGAAATCTATCCTGCCCTACAGGAAAACAGAAGAGGAAGGGGATAAGAAAAGGGGGAGGGGTATTAGAAGGGAGGGCAGATTGGGGGAAGGGGCATTCAGAATGCATGCCCTCTTGGCGGAGGGGAGGGGAGAGATGGAGAGAAAATCTGGAACTCAAAATCTTGTGGACGTGAATGTTGAAAACTAAAAACAAATAAATAAATAAATAAAAAGTTAAAAAAAAAAAAAGAAAAGAAACCCAGCTATTTCATCCATGTGGGTACTACCTGTACCAAGGCAAATCACCACTATTTCACATTTAAATAGGAAATCTCCATGAGTTGCTATGGAAAAATAAATAAGCCATAAATTTATGGCTAACTTCTCTTAAAATAACCTAGGCTGATCCTCAAGTAACCAACGTAAGTCACCTCAAATTTGTATCTCCACACATGAGGATCTGTGCTCCAGTTACTTACTTCCACCTATCTACAGGATGCCTTGCTGTGAGTACAAACTCACCATGTTCAAAGCAGAATCCCTTAACTTCCCAAATTAGCTTCCCTCCTCAATTTCTGCCATTGGTGCTATTCAATATGGAAGGCTAGAATACCTAGAGTTATTTTATATTTCCTACTTTATCTTCATTCCTTATATCCAGTCTATCACCAAGTACTTCCTCTGAAACATCTCTCAGATTCTTTCCTCTCCGATCCTACTGGTGCTATTCTAGTCCAAGCCCTCATCACCTCATACTTGGGTTACTATTAGAAGCTAGGCTCCTTGTCTCTGCCTCCTTTGACATTCTCCCTTAAGCTCATCCTATGTACCAAAACCAGACTAACCTTAAAATTTTGTTTTCATCATACTTCTACCACTCAAAAACCTACAGTATTTCCCAGATAACGAGTCCATCAAGTCCAAATTTCTCTACCTAATTTTTCAATATCCTCCATAATCTTATCATTCTTTCCACCCTATGCCTACTACCTATGTCATTTTAGGCAAGTCACTTGACTTCCCCAGGCCTCAGTTTCCTCATCTATAAAAAGAAAGATCATACATAAGACCCCTGGGGTCACTTCCAGCTGTAGATCTATAAGCTTATAGTTCAATGCAACAAATACTTATTAAATGCCTACCGTGTTTTATAAATGTACAGCTCTATGTACCATGCTGGCTGCCAGCAGAGAAACACAGCTTAGATAATAATATTTATAAAACACTTTAAAAGCCTGCAAAGCATTTACATACTTGTAAGCTCATTTAACACACTCTTGAGGTCCTTTTCACAGGTATTATTATAATTCCCTTTTTACAAATGATCAAGCTATGGTTCAGAAAGCTAAGTGGCTTGCCCAGGTACATAGAATAAATAAAGGGTCAGAGGTGGAATTTGAACCCAAGTGTTTCTGGCTCCCAGGCCAGTAGTCTATCTACTACACTGCTTCAGATACAACATAATCCCCATCCTTATGGAATTTAAGTGCCTAAAAGGGAGATATAACTCAAATTCAGAATACTATAATACAAAACAAAGTCAGGCAAAACATCTCATGATGCATTAAGAAAAACAGTATCTAAAATGAAGAAGTAATCATTCTGCTATGCCCATTAAAATACTGGGGTCAGCTTTAGCTATCACATTAGGAGAAACATTTATAATCTGGAAAGGGTCCAGAGGAGAACAACTAGGCTGGTGAAAGGCCTCTAGATTATACCATTTAAGGATCTATTGGAAGACCTGTAGGTGTTTAGCCTTGGGAATATAAATTAGGGAAGACAGGATAGTTGCCTCCAAATATCTAAAGGAAATGTTCTTTTGACAAAGAAGGCAGAAGTAGGAGCAACAGAGAAGCTGTAGAGAGACATACTTTAGAATTATTTTAAGGGTAGCTTGGTGGATAGAGCTCCAGCCTTGGAGTCAGGAGGACCTGAGTTCAAATCTGACCTCAGACACTTGACGCTTACTAGCTGTGTGACCCTGGGCAAGTCACTTAACCCCAATTGCCTCACTGAAAAGAAAAACAAAAAAAAAAAACAGAATTATTTTAAGAAAAACTTCCAAATAATATTGTTGTTTAGTTGTTTCAGTCATGTCTGACTCTTCGTGACCCCACTGGGGTTCTCTTGGCAAAGATACTAGCGTGGTTTGCCATTTCCTTCTAATAATAATAATCTCTCCTGATAAAAAGGGCTACCTTAAAATGGATTGGGTTGCCCTGGTATGTAACAGATCTCCTTCATTAGAGGTTTTAAGTAATGGCTGGATGGCCATTTATTGAGAAGGTTATAGAGTGAATTCTCTAGATATGTAAGGTCCTTTTCAAGTCAAATTCTAAAAGTACATGAAAAATATATTTAGATGGTGCAAGCAGAGCAATTGAGCTGCCACTCAATACATTACAATGCCAGAAAACAAAATAAAAAGTCTGGCACAGAAAATTATACACATTTGTTCAGTATTCACCAGAAACAGCCTTTTTTTTTTTTAAAAGGAAATAGAGGCACTTATTGTTCTTTATTTTATTTTATTTTTTGCTTTCTGGTGAGGCAATTGTGATTAAGTGACTTGCCTAGGGTCACACGCTAGTAAGAGAAATAGCTGTTCTTAAAGAAAAAGTAAACACCTCAGTTAATAATTGAACATTTTCATAAAAGGCCACTTTCCCTTACCACCTCCTCCCAGCCCTTCCTGCCATTAAGTTTAAAATGGTAAGTTGATTTCTTCTGTCAAGACTTGACATTAGAAACTTTTTAAGTGGGCATGGATGACAAAATCTGTTTAGAGGAAGAAACATAAAATGAGGTAAGGCTGAAAAAGTAGAGTGGCATAATACTGCAGAAGACGTCAAGTGCCGCTAAAAGGAGTTTGGAATTGGTTAGCTAAAGGCAGACACTGTAGACTTACTACTCCCCAACACAGAATCAAGTAAGTTGAATCTCTTCATTGTGCCTTTACACCATCATATGTTGTATTTATTTAAATCACAACACATCTATGATGCAAAGTTTCCTTAACAAGTATAAAGTTTACCTTCTTGTGCTAAATCGCCCACATTAATGTATGTCAGTCCTGTTCTTGATGCAAGTTCTTTACCTAGTGTGGTCTTTCCAACCCCTGGTGTACCTGTAAGACAATTCACAAAAGATACCTTCAGTTAACATTCAACAGGGAAAAATGAGAGACAGAGTATCACCTTCTTAAGGATCTTATATTTAGGGTTGGAAGAGATGCTGGAGATCATCTAGTTCCTACTCCTCTTTTTATAGATGAGGAAAAAATTGAGAAAGGAAGGGGCTTGCTCAAGATCCCAAAAGTAGCAAAATCACTGAGTAGCACAGCTGGGATTTAAATTCAGGTGTTATGATTCTAAATTCAGCCCTCTTTCCAAGCTACATGCCACCAAACCCTTATTGGTCAGATGCTGTTATACTAGCCTTTTTCTGAAGCAGGAACAGAGACCATAGATGCTTGATATTTTTTGAAACTTAGGTCCCTTATTGTCATATGCCATCTTCAGACTGCTATTCTTGTAACAGAATGCAATTACTCTTATGGAGAAATTTTCATAAATGCCCCTGCCAAACCAATTGCTAATTTTACTTTTTAACCCTGACAGCGTAATGAGGGCACCAAAGCTAATTGGCCCGCATATCATCCATTCTTATGCCACTTTCCTTCTCCGGGCCTTAGTTTCCTCATCTGCAAATAAGACTGCCCTGGAATACCTCCAACTTCCTCTTCCGGGAAGATTGGTCTGTTAACTTCTTACTTGGGTAACCCAAAAGTTACATAAGATATGTGTTCATTAATGCAGATAATACAAATACTTAATGCACTTATGAAGATAATATAAAACTTAATCTCAGCGACGAACAAATCAGGTATGTGTGATCTTTAGAAATATCTGTGCCACCTATGATTTCATAACTGGGTCACACCGACGAGCAGGGCACAGGAACTTTGCAAAGACTGAAAGTGGAAGCCGAATTTCTTTAAAAGGCAGCGGCACATCTACTGTAAGGCACTCAGCAGCCTCAATCAAGCCCGTCAGGAGGTGGGTGTGGATCCAAGCCCTGGGTCCGGGGAGAAGTCACGACCACGCTTCCCCTGAAACCTCCGAGCACACCAATCACTGGACATCATTTAACACGATCCAGGACGCGGCTGACAGTGAGAACCCCAGGGTTCTAGTCTCGTGGCCAAGTCGTTTCCATGCACTGACATGGGGGGGGGGGGGTGCCTTCCAGGCTTCACTTTCCCCGGTGTAAATCGGGACCCGGGCAGCTGGATGACCGCTGGGCTCTCCGGCCCCGATGCCCAGGACGGGCGCTTTTACTCCTTCATCCCCGAGAGAAGGTGGGGGATAAAACGAGGGATCCCGGACTGACCAACCGACTTAACGTCTCCTTCCCCCGGCTCCCCCAAACCCCCACCCCAGGCAACAGCACCGAGGCCGGGCACGGCCTGACCCCCAAGAAAGGAATCCACGCAGCCCCAGCCCCAGCCCCAGCCCCAGCCCCGCCGCCCGAGCCACAGCCCTGACCCGTCAGCAGGATGTTGGGCCTCCTCATGGCCTCGGAGTCGCCGGCTCCGCCCCGGTCACCCGCTCTCCACGAGTGAGCGGCAGGCAGAGGCTAGGCAGGAGGCGCGGGGCGGGCCCAGTGTCCTCGAGTGCCGCTCTGCGCACACTCCGCAGCTCACCGCCTCGCCCCGCCCCCCCCCGCCCATTGGTGAGCAGCCCTTTTACGACAACGCCTCAGAGCGAATCCGAGGCGACGGGGGCGGTCCGTGCGCCGCCGGAGCAGGCAATGCCCAGGACAGCCCAAACGGTCCGCTCCTACTCCTCTTCCCCCCTCCCCTCCCCTCTTTCGCCGTCGCCTGGGCGCCAGCCGCCGTGGGAGGCCCCCCCCGCCGGGAGGCGGGGCCTCAGCGTGGGCTCCCAGCTTGGCCCCCGGAGTGCAGCTTGGCTGCAGCCTCTAGACTTGGGTCGCCGCCGCCTCCCCCGGGGAGGGGGGGGGAATGCCTCAGGGTCACTGCCCGCTGCCTGCAGGTGAGTCCGCCGCGAGGGAGGAACCCCTGCCCGTAGTGCTGGTTGCAGAGCCGGCCCTTTGCCCTCGGCCCCATCGTGACCCGGAGCCGTTTCGAGGTCCGGCCGCGAGCAGTCACCAGCGCGGGGGGGGGGGGGGGGGGGGGGGGGGAAGTACGGAGGCGGGGAGGGAGCGGGCGGCGGACGAGCTAACTACATCCGGGGGCTGCGGGACCAGGGCCGGGCCGAGCGCCTACTGACGGGAAAGGCTCGTCAGCTCAGGTTTTTAAAAGGCTTCTGGGATCTTCGAAATCAGCGAGCCGCCCGTTACTCTGCACGCCCCCGGCGTCGGAGCACACAGGAAGTTCCTTTTTCTGTGTTTGCTCACAATGAGAAGTGACCCGGGGAGAGAGAGGTAGTGAGCTCGCCATCGCCTGGGTCCCTTGGTTGGCTGGCCACTCGGCGGGGTGCCTTGTGGAAGGGATTCCCGCCTCGGGTGTTGGGTCGGTGCCCTCGAGGTTCCTGGCAGCTGTAAAGGTTGTGTGAGCCGGCGTTTTGGAGTCTAGACATTCAGCGTTTCCCTGGCTTGACCAGCCTGCCCGGGTGGTTTGCGCTCAGTGGACGGCTGGCGTGGTCTTGTTTTTCTTAAGTTTCCGTGAACTTCAGACGAGACTGGCTCTTGGACCTGCTGGTCCTGAACTGAAAATGTTCAAGCTCTGTGTGGTCTTTCGAGAAAAAAAATCAGGTTTTTCACAGGAAGCCTGTTTTTAAGTAAGGGAAAGCCAAATGCCTTTAAAAAAAAAAAGGCCCTGTGGACAACTTAAACACTTTTGTTCAGAAGTAGTGGGCTCGGTTTTACCTTCTTTTACCTTCTCATTTTGCGTTTGTGTTCCAGAAAACCAAGCACTTTTACTCTGATGTGAAATACTACTTTGAAATTTCACTTCAGGACTCCACAAATGAGAACTACCCTCCTCTTGTGGTAGATATTGTTGAACCTGTATATATAGGCACGCAATCAGTACTCATTGAATGATTCTTTTTTCTTGTATCCAATAGTTGTATCCTACTTTGTTGTTCAGTCGTGTCCAACTCCCCGGGGTCTCGTGGGCCATCGCATGCCAGGCCCTTCTTAAAGTGTGTGCAAGCTCAGGCTCATTGCTTCCCCGACACTGTCTATCCATCTCCTCCGAGTCCTGCCTTCTCATTAGGTGTTCAGAGTATTTAAGATTCAGCTTCGGTATTTATCCATTCAATGAATAGTCTTAATTAGTTTCTTTGAGTATTCACTGATTTGATCTCCTTGCTGACCAAGAGAATCTCAAAAGTCTTCTCCAGCATCACAATTCAAAGTGTTGATCCTACAGTGCTCAGCTTGTAGTCCAACTCTGACTTCTTATAAAGACATTCCATTTACAACCTACAAAAAGCCACAAATGAATCAGTTGCCACAAATGAATCAGCTGCAGTTGACAGTAAAATTAATTAGGGACAGCTAGGTGGTGAAGTGGATAGAGCACCGGCCCTGGAGTCAGGAGGACCTGAATTCAAATCCTCAAATCCGGCCTCAGACATATAACACTTACTAGCTGTGTGACTCTGGGCAAATCACTTAATCCCTATTGCCTTGCCGGGGGGGGGGGGGGGGGGGGGAGATAGTATAGATATCATTAATCCCCATTTTAAATGTGACTGAGGCAGTAACTTGCCCATGGTCACACAGCTAGAAGACAGAAATACATCAATACAATAAATGTATTTTTTTGAGTCGTAACTTAATTGTAACTTAATATTCATGTTTATGGTTTTCTTATTTTGGGAGAAAAGACAAAGCCTTCCATAAATATATTTTCTTTGCTTTTCAGGTGATTTATACTTTAATGTACTGCAGGTTCTGTACTACGCATGGGAACTATCAAGGTTTATAATGTCAAAAACTTCTCTTAGACGAAAGGTAGCTTCCACAAAGGTATGAAGCATTATTGAAAATAACCACCACGGGTTACAAATGAAGTCTAATATAGCAATGGCTGTAGTTCACCTCATCTCACAAAGTATAGAAGTGACTTGAAATGAGAACATGTAGGTCGTTAGTTACATAGCAGAGCCAATGCTTAGTCCTGTGCCTTATTCTGCAAGGGTGTACAGTAATCCCTTCCACATCTCAGGAGTTAGGTGCACAGTGCCCCTATGATTTAGAAAATGCATGTAAAATTTTTTGGCCCTCCTTTTGTACCAGAAAAGAAGTCTGAATTTTTTTTTTCTTTTTCTTTTGTGGGGAGTTTACAGTACCTTATTGTAAAATTTGGGTTAAGTGTTTAGTCATAGGCCTGTGTCTTGGGCTTCTGCAAGACTCCCTAAAAATTCCCATTTAATTTCTTATGGTGACCCTCAAAATATTGAAACCAAGATGCAGAAAGTCACTGTGTGGAAGAGGTAACTACTTTGGCTTTAAGTTTGAATAACAAGGCAAGCCATCAGAGGACCAAGGTAGAGCTGTTGAAATTCCTAGTTATCTTTCTAGGTTTAATGTTAGCTTTTAACTTCTCCACTGACTCTAATTTTAAGTAAATAATTGAAATATTTCCTATAAGATGGAAATTAAAATTCTGTATTTTATGTTAACTAGAGAATCAATAATAAATAAAATACTTTTTAAAGGAAACTTGATTTACTAATTCCTTTTAGCCAGTGTTTAATACAAAGTTCTGCATACAAGAGGCAAACAATTTGGACAAATTATTCAGAGGTGGCAAGGATGCTGAGTTTTGATAGATTTTTCTACACTTAAAAGTACTGATAACAAGGAACCATTGTGATTAGGATGTAAAAAAAATCCATCCTAAAAATTTTAGTTCTTGAAATAATCATGTTGAGTTTACAAGTTGAACTCTCTTACTGTTGATTAAGTGTTTGTTATACAAATAATTACAGAAAAGAGAACTAAAGGAGGCAAATGTACACATTTAATTTTTGTCTTTGTTTTTCTAGCACAATGCCTGGCACGTAATAGGAACTAACTGCTTATTGGATTAATTGTTTTGACATTTCATTTATTAGGGGTAAATTTCAATTTTCCTTAAACTCTTGCCTCTTTTTAATTTACTCAAATATTAGATGTTCTGTACAGTGAAGAGGCATATCAGGCTATAATTACAAAATGTATAAACTGGTAAATGTTTATTCTCATTCACAAAAAGTTTAAAGGTAGTATAGCTTGTTGAAATGATACTACTGTAGTATGATGTCTCTACAGAATTTTGATTTGCATCACCATTATTGCTAGATAGTTTGAATTTTTATGTGTAAAATAAAGATACCACAAACATAAATAACTGCAAAAAAAGTCACCTTATTTCAGTTATTGTGGGTAAATATGTTGCAAGTCAGTATTGTAAATGTGTGATTGTTAAAGTTCTAGAAACTTATATACTATATTAGGGGTGGGGGAAGGGAAAGGGAAAATATTATATAATCATACTATTTCCATTGATTTTTTTTTTTCTCCCCAGATAACCAACTGGGTAGAGCCTTCATTTGATGATTTTGTTGGGAACACAGACATCTCTTCTGCTCTTACAACTGCATCTCTGGGAGTAAATAATTTTCATCAGAGAAGAAAAGATTTGTCTTCCACATTAGAAAGTAGCAAGTTTCTAACTAGAAAAAAAGGAAAATCATCTTCCTCAAAACAGAATAGTGTTGAAGCAAATTTAAGTGAAAATCTTTCTGAAAGTGAACCATGGGTAGATAAATACAAACCAGAAACTCAGGTACAAAATCATTTCATTATTTTTAGGCAGTAAAATTTAACAGGGAACTGAAAATTACAACAATTGAAGAGATTATGGAAGCATTCCACAATGTAATTTGTTTTTTTAACAAAAAATCCTTCTAAATGACCTATAAAATTTAAGGGTTTTGCTTATATAATTTTGTTCTTATACTGAGATCTCTTTTTTTTCCCCAAATAGTTATTCCTTAATACATGTTCCTTAGTGCTTTTCATGAATCTTGATTTAGCTCCAATGTGGAATTTATCCAAGCCATAAAAAGAAATAATTTTTCCCCCTCTTCTCTCACCCAATTCAGTTTTAATTTTAATAACTTTTATAATGAGTTTAAAGAAAAAAAAACACCTCAGTTCATTTCTGGTGATAAATTTTCCATTATGAAATGTTGTAAAGTGTTATGATTTAATAACATCAGTAGACCAGTGAAGCTGTGAGTACCATCTGGTGGCATCTGCAAATCCTCATGCTTTTTTCACAGGATCATTGCCTTTATATTAACTATCAGTTAACTGATCTTTCTGAATCTTCTCTACATTTCTTTTTAAAATCTAAGTTGGGTGTTGAATACCCCTTGTGTGTCTACAATGGTCTCTGGACAAATTCCATTTTTCCTCCCCATTAAAATTGCTTACCTTTTATATTTTTAAATTTACATTCTTGAGATTTCATCTTCTTAGGTTGACTTCCCCTGAAGTTAAAACTCTATGGGATCTTATCTGTATTTCTTCTGAGCTCTTTAAAATCTGCTTTTCAAAATCTAGGGTGCATTTCAGACTATATCTGTGTTTCTTCTTCTTTATCACAAACTCTTAAGTTTGAAGGCTCTTT